AGGCCAGGGATCATTTAGAGCAGTGAAATGTTTATGAAAAAGGATTTTACTTACTTAAGTCTACAAAGACCCTATAACCTTTCAACTTTGGTCTGCCTAGACAGCTGCATCACTATTTCAACAGAAATGTCTGTGGAGACCAACAGCACTTGTTAGCCCTAAAGCCTTTAACTGCCTTCCCACCACATCTTCGGTTCTAAGTTGACAAAGCTGCTCAGTTACTTCACCAGAGCCAGTAAATACCAGAAAGCCCTCAGTGGGAACAGCTTTTTCTGGTTTCTGTACAGGTTTTATCCAGAGACTGTTTCCAGCACAAGAACTACTGATAGACCTCTGCAAACATTTTTCTTCCTGTGCTAGAGTTCATTTGCTGACAAAACAATCAAAAATACAACTCCACATCTTTCAGCCATAAATGAAATTCACACAAGTTTACAGATTCCAAAACCAAAGTTCATTTTCTGACTCTGGCAACAACACCACGGTCAGGCAGCTGATGCTGTTCAGAGGTTTCAGCTGAACATCATGTTCTCCAATGGTACAAACACTGGCACAGCTATCTGGTGAGCAGCAGGAGCAAGAGGAAAGCTCCTGTTCCAGAAGATGAACCAGCAGAAACAAGTCCAGGACAGGGGACTTTAAATGCACGTTTCCATGCTCTGGATTAATCCTAAGCCTGATCTCCTTCGAGGTAAAGCTAACCTGAGATTTCTCTTCATCATCAACTACTTTCAGCAAACCAGAATAGAAAAAGTAAGTTCCCTTCTCTGGAATGGATAAAAGCATATATTTCAATAAGAAACTATTCATACATGACAAGAGACAAAGGATTTGGACAAGGAAATTAACCCAGATAAGTGCTGTTACAAAATGGGACCAATTGCCACCTCAGTTGACAAGGAAAAAATACCTGTAAGACCATGGAATTGTTTTAGCAACAGGTCAACACATGGACTACAAGCTTACAAATACTCGGTAAAGAAAAAAACAACAAACAATACTGGCTCTTCACAGCCCTGTCCAGCTAGAGCACAAGCATCGTTTTAGCAGGCCTTAAATATTTCACATAATTCTACCTCAATTTCACAATTTATTAAAATTACAAGTACAGATAGGAATTTAAAACTATATTTAGACCTTCTTTCTTACAGGCCTGCTAAACTGCTAGATTCTGACCTTCTCAGCTGTCCCCAAGTGCATGACAGTTACACTCCAAAGCAGAAACACAGCTGAACAGCTTCCAACAAATTCCCACCTGGTATGTCCTGTTTCCTTCCTACTATCCATTAGAGACTAAGCTTGATGCCTCCTTTTAAGTCAGTCATTACGCAGTCTAACATGATTCCTCTGAATTTCATGTTAATAACAGATACCATTTTTGTCATCAGGCTCACTTCATGACTCTGCTGTTACAAAGACCTCTCAGCCAACATCCATGACGCCTTCACATCTCCCCTTTGTGACACCCACCTGCAAAATACAGGCTCAGTTTTTCTGGCTGGCACCTGGCTGCACACTGTGCTAGAAATGCTGAGAGCATGAGATGTTGCAGGGCATGGTAAGCAATTAAAGTATGCTAAAACGTTTATAAGAAAGAGAGACTGATACAACATAGGTATGCAAAGAACATGAAATATTGGCTCAGTACAGTCATTTCATTAAAGTTGTTTCTATTTCTAAAGTTTTTTTAGAAAGTATATTTAAAACACTGTACTAAAATGAAACTCTGCTAAATTGTATTGCCTCTAGAAAAGTAATTTTTCATCTGGAGAGCCCTCAGAAAGCTACACAATCTGGGAAAGGTAATTACAGAAAAGGAACCTGTGGTAAATTGCCTTTATTCTGCTACAGAGATCATCATCACTGCAAAAACTGTTGAAGTCTAGAAACAATTTAAAAATGAATACATTCCATCATATATGTCCTTCCACACAGAGGTGCTTCCTCTAGCATCACTCCAAGCACTCTGATCACAGTCTGATTACATCTGGTTTACAAAATATTCTCCAGTCATTGAGGCGAGGGAGTGTAAGGAAATGTGAATTCCCTCATTTTGAATAAAACAGATCTGGAAAAATATCCCAGTATAAATTTCCCTTATGAAAAAATACAAGGGAGAAATTAGGAATGTAGCCACCATTCACTTGATCATCTTGGCTCTTCTTCTGCTGGCCCTGTCAGACAGGTTTCTTCAGAAGTGATAATTGCAGTGTACAGGAGGAGTGTTGAAGTATCAAAGCAGCTTAAAAAAAAAACAACCCTCAAATGAGACGTATTAAAAGGGACCACAGGGCAGCAGATGTCACAACGACAAAGGAAGCCAGTTTTTCTGATAAAAAACACACGAGAATGATGAAGTATAAGGGTGAATAAATATCAAGGGGGGAAAAAAAAACAAAAACAAGCATGCAATTTGTATTCTGTCATGCTCTAACACAGGTATTCCTAATTTGAGACAATGATCCAAATTCCAGTTTTAGCCAAGCACTGCTCTGGATATTACAGCATCTAAACTGCTGCCTAGATTTGCTTCTCTGCAAGGCTCTTCATATCCATAAAATCACTGTGGAACAGATGGCACTTGTAGAAGGAAGAAGTAGCTTTCAACCACGGCTAGGGATTATTTGTCTAAAATGCCCCTATTGTAACTACATATATGTAAGTATAAATATTATAACTATATCTATATATATATATAAATTGTTTGCTTTTAAGTTTGCTATCTAAGCATTCAAAAAAAAAAAAAAAGGGAAAAACAATGAATAATCTAATAAAACAATCTTGTGAAATAGATAAATATGCTTATTTTACTGCCAGCAAAACACCAGAAGTTTAAAATCACTATTTGCAAGCTGATGTCTACAGAAATTCCATAAATCGAGCAGGTCTCTGAATCTGGACTCCAAGTTCACTTGCTTCAATATCAAGAACTTTATATTCACCACTATTCAATCATAATTTGACTAATTTTGAGTAATCCTGAATTTATAAACATTGGATTACATACAAGATACACTTACCACTGAAAAACGTCCTGGAAGGTGGCTGCTTCCACAGGACTGCAGTTCTAACGCACGGGTTTTCACATATGAGGAAGTTGCAGCCAGTCAGGAAACTGTAAATGTAACATATAACAGACAGTGGCTCAAGTACAAACGTTTTACAGTGCAAATGTAAACAGAACATTCAGAGGCTGAACAACACAGAGGGGAAAATTCCCCTCAAAGTACTGAGATTCATAAAGTAAAGCATTAAAATCCATTTTCTTCAGGCCTACCTCCCCCTCTTCCAATAAAACAAAAAATCCAACTGCTCCTGCAGATACCTCATTGTTTAGATGTGTCTAATTCGCTTTTCTTACCCCCATGTATTTCTATTTTCTTATCAAAACGTGAATATATGTTCCTTTTAAACTTTATGATAATAATTATGCTCTTCTGAGTATAGTGCTTGCTAATGTCATGTACCCTATCTCAAGCTGTTTGGAGTTGTAATATATTGGTTACTGTGAATACAACCTGAGCCTTTAAAAGAGCAAGTCAGTGGTATGCAATGTAATCTTTGATTTTATGCACTACCCTGGTCTACAAGACCAACAATCTGTTATTTTTCAAAGAAGTGACTAAAGCCAGTGAATTACTCTTCTCTAGATCAGTTTCCAGTTTAATATGTTGGATTTGATCCAACAGCACATAAACAACTACTCCAAGACCAATAAACAACTTGTATTTTACTGGGGAAATTATAAGAAGGTCTAAAGCAAAATTCCTATAATTTGGAGGAATGGTAAGCAGCATAAATATTGACATTATCTTCTGCAACAACACGGCTAATATGTATTTACATCCACCCAAAGGTAGTGCTTATTACAAAGTGGCATCCAGCCATGCTGATCAAAACAAACTCTGCTTATAAACGTGGTAAAGCTTTGTAATGAGATCATTACAAAATGACCTGGCATTATTCCACCTCCAGGACGCTGCCACACATGCAGGTGCCATTTAAGAGCCACAACTCTTTTAAGATACACCCACAAACCGGGTTCTCAAATCTGCCTTTCTCGCACGCTGATGGGAAGATGGCAAACATAGAAAAGTTATGGGATCTGCAAAGAAGTTCTGCCATTTCTCAGGCCAACTGCTGGGAAAGTAACGAGTGCCAGGTCTTGCTCTCAGGATGCAAACATGACAGCTGGGACGTCTTCATTTGGCACTGTGACCTTTCACCTGCTCCCATCAGATGCACACTAAGAGCAGAATTACTTCATTAACTTACGGCTTTCTGCATCATTCGGGTGATTCAGTTCCAGGAAGCGATTAGCATTCTTTCATATTTTTAAGAATGAATTTCAGCTATCTCACAAGTTTCAAGTAGACTCTTTATTTAGAAAATAAGGAGTCTATGAATAGGTTTCTCGTCCAGAAACCACACAGCGATAGCAGTAGGCACTCACAAGCAATGTTTTACTGCTAGTTAAAGATAATTAGCTACAGTTTTCACTTATCCTCGTAAAACAGCATCACGAGTATTAAGAAGCTGACAGGTAGAGCGTAGAACCACAGTGCTGACCCAAACGCAGCAGGACAGGCGTTCCCCAAAGCACAGTTTCCCACAACCGGGTCCTCACCAGGTAAAAAGCCCCGCACTGCTGCACGTTTTACACAGCAAGGCAATAAGCAACGCGCCCGGCGCCGGGAAGCGGCCGACCCCGGCTCAGGGATCACCCCTAACGGCTGTCAGCGGCTGCCACTCCGCCCTCAGCTCCGTCTCTGGCTCTGACTCCGGCCCCGGCCCATCAGCACGAAGCAGCGCAGCGCCGTCCCGCCCTGCCCGTACCTGCTCCGCCGCACTGCAGCACCGCCGCCTCGCGCCACGGCCGCCGCCATCTTGCTGGTGCTGCTGCGGCGCCGCGAGCTGCGCTGCGTGCCGAGAGCGAGGGCGGGCTGAGGGACGGGGCGGGGCCGGAGGGGGCGGGGCGGGTGAGTTGTGGGCTGAGGCTGTTCGTGGCGGGCTGTAAGGGGTGCTGTGGGGCTGAGCGAGTGTTGGAGCGTGGTGTGGCAGCGTTGTGACTGTTAGGAGAGCAGTTTACTGAGGAGGGGGCAGTGCTGCTCACCTTGAGCGAGATGTTGAGCTTAGACCGCATGGCGTTGGCTGTCCCTGTGTGATAACACCACAGGGGGGCTGTTGTAAAGATGAGGTGGAGATAAGGTGGGTTCCGCCCTCCTACGTGTGTCCGCAGTTGGATGCGGGGCTACCGCGTTAGCAGCCAGCGGCTAATTGCTGTTTCCTGAGTGCTGGGGAGGTTTCAGAGGTGAATCACTATGAAAGCATTCCTAAAGTGTCCTCACCTCTGCTCCAGGCCGAAATGCTCTCATGACCTGCTGTGTTTGTGATTAATGCTTGGCTGTCCGTTTTCCCAGCCAGGACTCCGTGGAGTCTGCAGAATGTTGCTATTTTCACATCGTAGCAGCAGTATCTGTAAGTAGCTGATTAAGCGTCTTCTACCTTAGGCGTAAGTAGGAAAGTCTGTTAATAACATGGAATAGCAGAGATCCAGCTGTAGCTCTCACGTAAAGTAATAACATGAGCTGGCTCAGCTGTCAGGATGCACATTTTCCTCAGTTAACGTGAGGTAGGGCCAGCAGGAAGCACAGCTGCAGAGGTGGGATTTGATGGCACCAGGTGCGCTGCCCCCAGCACGGCAAAGGCTGCGGCTTTGATGTCTGACTGCGCACTGCAGCAGGGCCAGACCCACAGGCTGCCCCACATCTGAGTCAGGAGTGACTCAAGGTTAAGCTGTAAATGAAGCACACTTGTTTATAGCATGTTTTAATTGGTGTGGACTTAACTGGTTAGTGATCTGGCCTGATGTAAGTTTTTTTTTCCTGGCATTGGAAGTATATATTTACCTATTGTCTTAGAACTATTTCAAAAGAATTAGTTTATTCTAATTTGTTGTAGTGTGATTATTTTTTTCTTATGTTGCCATGTTGCAATGTGTTGTGCTGAGAGATTGCATGCACTCAGTGGGGAATGGGGCACAATTCCCAAAGTGTTCTGAGCTGAGCTAGAACTATGTGGGTGAGCCAAGTCAAAGGGTGGGATAATACCGTGATACATAGAATCATTTGTGTTGGAAGGGGGGTCTTAAAGGTCTTCTAATCCAACTCCTCTGAAATGGATGGGGATATCTATAGTTCTCTTATTAAATGAGAGAATGTAGGACTTTGGACTTGAGAATGTCCAGGAAGCATAGGAATGAGTGAGAGAGGTGAGCTCCTGTGCTCAGACTAATGGGAAATGAGATAACATATCAATAAATGCTGCAGATTTTGTGAAGAAACCTAGGAAACGGCAAAGGTGAGCAGTGGAGTCTGTGTACACAAACCAAAAGAAGGAAATGGGGAATAAGGTCTGTGAGTTGCTCGGATAAGGTATATAGCACAGGAACAGAAATGTGGGAGAAGTGTTGTCAAAGTGCACGAAGCAGAGGAAGTGCTAGGAGGAAAACAAAACTGGGAAAAATACTTTCTTTCTCCAGGACTCGGAGTGATCAAGTCTCTCCTGAAAAGATAAGATCAGTGCGTATTAGCAATACGTATATATTTGTGTTGTTTTTTGTTTTTTGTTTTTTTTTGCATCAGTTCCATTTATACAGTTATGCTTAAATATATACACATACATATTAGCTCCTCTCTTTATGTGGAGAGAGGGAGCAAGCTAATGATGTGAGTCATAGCTGCTTTAGAGTAATTAAGAGGCAATACTTCTCTAGGCTAAATGTTAGGGAGCAGGGAAACAAACCAGTTTGGAATGAGACTGCTGTGCTAGAATGGAATGAAAAGAATCAGGAAAGCTGACAAAGTCAGGATTCTGTTCTAAATTCTTAGGTGGGCATAGGGTTACTTTTTGTTTGACATCATGCAGTAAATAAACTCTCTTACCATGCCAAAAAAAAAAAAAAAAAAAAAAAAAAAAGGGAAAAAAAAAAAAACCCTACTTCAAAAACAGAGGTTTTCGTTTCTTTGTATGTGAGTAAATGCACTGATAAAAATGCACTGATATTTTCCAGCTGTGGGCACTAAATAGGTCACTGTTCCTTTCTTCTCTATGTGCGAAGATGCAGTATCTGACAGAGCTTATGTTTATTTATTGAAAATCTCATTTTCTTTGTTGATGCCCAAACCCTCTTTTCTATCTTCCAGAGAGTTTGGTCATCACTGTGGAATTCCTGGTATGAGAATGCAGAGCGTCAGATAGAGAGTGGATCCTTGCTGAACAACTGTAATCATGAAGGCAGTTCTTATAATTGTCCTAATCATCTTCACTTTGCTGTGTTCAGGTAAGTTTGATGCAGAGAGGGGAAAGAGAAAGGTGAGCTCTGGATGAATTATCAGGATACAAACTCTAATATGTGCTGTGGTTTTGTTTTCTTCTGAGTATAGAATCTGCAGCCAGAACTGTGCCTGTGATTTCCATTAAGATGGTATTTTTTCAGTTTGTTCATGGGCAGATGGTGACCCTGCTGGTCTGAAGGCAGCTAGTTTCTCCACAGTTCTGTGAAGGTTTCCTTTGAGTAGCTGGTGTCCACGCACTCATTAGTGCTGTCAAAATGAATCAGTATATTTTAAGCTGCTCCTCTCAGAAACTACAATGGGTTTCTTTTTGGAATCGCTCTGAATTACCATCAAAACATTTGGAGTGCTAATGTCTGACATCGTGCTCCAAGGAATAAAAGCTTCAGTGTTCTAGTATTCAACTTTGCTATTCCAGGCGTTTTTTTTTAATATTAAGTGGTTGTTAGAAAACCAAATGGTGTTCTGAAGATGACAGTATTCAAGCTGTTGCAGTCTCTTCTTTCTATTCAGTACAGGATTCTGTCAAGTTGTATAACTGCAGGCTGCTTTCATGTATGAGATCCACTTTCTTCTCTCCTGAAATGCATCATATCTTCTTGAAATAGCATATCTTGAAATGCATATGAATATTTTATAGTAGAGGGCAGTTGATGAGAAGAACATAAAATAAATCTGAATAGATCCAAAATGGATAATTACGGAGTATGAAGCAAAAGAGGAAATGTTGTTGGCAAATCTGTGTCCCCTTTGGTTGTAGGCTTACAGTCAGTATAGACAAACCATACCCCCAGCTTCCCCTGGAAAGGGAGGTATCACCTTCACCTCCACTTCTAATTGTATCTTCCTCATTCTTTCTGCTGTGTGAGTTCCTAGCAACTAGTTGTTGGTTGCTCTTTTAAATTGGTTAATCAGCTTTCATTTGGGGAAAGAGCTGACAACTAAGTAGTTCAGTTGTGCTACAAATTTATAGAGCGATCCTGTGCAGGTTCTGTGAGCTCATTCAGAAATGAAGGTAATTTTTATTTGAGTTCTTGCTTGATGTGGTGATCTTGTTGATAATGTTTTTCTGATACACTGTTCAGCGTAGTACGTGATTATTGCTTTTCAATAACAGAATTGTCCTCACTTTCTGTCTCTCACAGTGCATATCTGGAAGATAGCTCTCAGGCACTTGAGAAAATGCTGGGAAGCTTCTTGGGTGCACTGTGGCTAATTGAGGAGCTTTATGTGTACTCTTGGGTGCCTCAAAGTACACTGGTGGACCCTGCAAAGCATCTAGGTCTCACTGAGGAGCTTCTTGGATAGTCTGAGAAGCATCATTGCAGGTGATCTCGGGCACCCAAGGATGCTCTGCGGGACCCTGGGAGATATGTAGGGCACACTGGGAAGCCTCTGGGGTGCCCTGGAGCACACTGAGGAGCCCCTGTATTTACTCTCAGGTGCCCAGGAAAAGATCATGCCATAATAATTGTTGAATCTTGAAAAATCTGTCTGAAAACTAGTTTGTTGCTGCCAGTCAAGAGGAAGCATAGAGACTTAATGGCAGATGTTTGCTCTCTTGTGTGTGGAGCCAAAGTGCTTGGGTGCATCTCTCCTGTGCCTTCATGTGTGTGGATGTCTGTGTGAGCAGAGTCTTATTTATGGAGCTAATTAAAACAAAACAACCTCTTCCTTCCATGGGGCCTTAAACTGAGTTTGGTTTTGCTAAGTCCTACAGTTCTTGACTTTTTTTTTTAATCCCACAGGGAAAAAGTTTCGATGGTGCACCCTCTCTGATCTAGAACAGAGGAAGTGTGCTGAGCTGTCCAAAGCACTGACAGCTGTGCTGCTTGTCACTAACACCGATTCGTTTGCCAGGATTTCTTGCATCAGAGCCCACAATACATATGACTGCATTGATAAAATCAGAGTAAGTTCACAAAGATTTTTAGAACTAACTTAATTTGAACCAAATTCTCTTTTGAAGTAGAAACTGGCTATCAACTCGTGGAGAATGAAATGCTATTGACAGGATGGTATGTCACATAGGAGAAAGTACGTTGGATGTTTCAGAAATAATGCCTCCTACTTGTTTCCACAGAAACTAGAGCAGATAAAAAGAGCACTATAACACTAATTGACAAAGCAAATTCTCTGCTACAAAGCTCTATTTTTCAACATAGTCACCACCATCAGCTATGCATTTTTGCTAGCAGTGAACAGGAGCCTGCATACCACTCTTGTAAAAATCTCAATGGGCATCTGAATGAGGCTTGTCTTTCACATCACCATTGCCACTGTCAGAATGCACCACCCACTGCCTCACTGTGCCCACATCCACTGTTTGGCCTCCATAAGTGTTCAGCAAGAGTCAGTTAATTCAGTCATACACCTTTGCCTCATACACACTTCCATGTCAGGCACCATTTTGTCACGCTGCCCCTCTGCTGCTATCAGTCACTTCTACTGCCATCCTGCCAACATAATGAAATGGGAGGCATTACTTTCAGAGCAGGCCTTGTACAAGGTGGCTTGAGAGATAAGAATTCAAATATGTGAGCCTTCTACTAACCATACTATTTTACCCCAGCTTGCATTTTCCAAGAAATAAATATAAAATTGCATGAAAATAAATGGACAAATCCAAACTAACAAATTAAAGCCAGGTCAGAGCATTTTTCCTTCCTTGTAAGTTTCAATCCTACTCTGACTGGAATTAATATTTTTCTCTTCCCACTTTTCCCCCTTGTTTTTAACTCCTTGTTGATCGTCCCTGGAGTAAAGGATGGAAGTTTTTTTTTCCATGTGAAGATTTTCAGTTTTAATAAAATTATGAATGAGGCCATTTGTAGGATTAGCAAGCAAAACCAAGAAGGACTTTCTTGTTTGTTAAAGGAATTATTTAGTTCATGTTTTCATGATAAATAAAATAGGCTTGTTAATAGACTTAGTTCCATTTTTAGGTGGTTATTATAACCAGGAGAAATCTGAGAAGGTTTTGGGGTTCTGATGGAATAGTAGGAGGAAAAAGAAGCCTTTTTATTCAGGTGGCATTGGAATTGTATTTTTGGAATGGAAAGACCAAAGAAGAGGCAGGAATCAATGTCACTGATAAAGCACAGATACTTATTTGAAAGTAACAGCCTTAATCCTGGTGAAGTGTTAGTAATTAATAGCAGAGATTCAGTTAAAAACAAAGCAAATGCTTGTAAAAGTCTCTGCTCACTTCAAGAGCAGAGTTTCAGCCTGACGAACTGCTCTGTTTCCATTTAAACAAACTTGTTTTGAGGGTTTTGCTGTTGTGGTGTTTGGTTTTTTTTCAAGGTGAATAAAGCAGATGCTGCTTCTCTGGATGCAGGAGATGTTTACTCTGCTGTAAAGCTGTATGGTTTGACCGTTGTGGCAAAGGAGATCTATGAACAGGGTACGTACATAAAGAAGAATGAACTGTGCTTCTGATTTGCCTGGTAAATTGCTGTGCAGGCAAAGTCTCTAAAAGTTGGGGGAAAAAAGGTCTATTGATTCTTAAGTACTTTGTGGGAATATGGAGATGACTAACAACATATACTTTACATTGGTGTGTGTAAAACATATAGTGATGAATAAAATTCCAGTGGTGCTTTTTCTTTCCAGCCTATGGTGCTCTCATCACAATAAACTGTATCCAACCCTGCCCACAGCACTGATACACTGGGGTTCCACATTGCATAGGGAATGAAGAATGTTTTATCCCATCTGTGTTAATTCTTATACCATATTCCTTATTAGTACGATTGTTTATTAATTGTTCTTTAAGAGATCAGTTTCTGTTGTTGATTCGTTCTCTGTTCTTCACAGAAAGAGAAGTATATAAGATGGTGAATGTTACGGTAAGATTCTTTAGCTGAGCAGTCTGTGCACTGACTGATTTGCAAGAGAAAGCCAAGTATATTGTAGGAAATACCTGGGGGGCATGACTCTGAGAAGGAAGCCAAATTAGCAGGTGGGTGTAGGAAGAGACTAATCAGAGGACATTGCGAGAGCACAAGTGAGTTTTGTTTTGACTGAAAAACCATGCAGTCCTAATGGAATCGATACATTTCTGTCACCTGATCCCTAGGTTTTAAGGATAAAACAGAAGTTCTTTCTGTTGGGATACCTCAAACTCTTTGATACAAATGTTCAAAATTCCTGAGAAGCAGCCTTGCCCTTTCATGGTGCTCACTTTCACGATGTAGTCAGTATAGTGTGAAATTCCTGGTATGAATTCTTCAGTTTAATGTGCCTAAATTTTTTTTTTTTTTTTCTTTGCAACATTTAGAGGGGAATTGAACCTGGTGCACAGACAGAAGCTGGGGAGTTGGGCTTTAGTTATTTCTGTTGCATGTTTTGTCCTATCACAGGAAATTGTGTTTTTGCTGTGGCTGTTGCCAAACGAGGAACTTTGGATATCCAGAGGCTACGCGGTGTGCGCAGCTGCCACAATGGAGCCAGATGGACCTCAGGCTGGAATATTCCACTTGGATTTCTCCTTGCAAGGAATGATCTTTCCTGGGATGAGGGACAACCCCTGAGCCAAGGTGCGTGATAGCAACTGTAGCTGTGTCTGCCCTCAGCAAGAGTGAGTGAAACAGGGGCAGAAGTGTTACCAAAACAGGAAAATCTTGGTGTTTTGTATACAGTAGGGAACAAGACTTTGCAATATCAAGCCAGCACAAAGATGGTTTTGAACAAGAAAAATCAGATCACTCTGTTTGCAACAAACATTTCAAATTTGCAATTTAGACAGTGAAGCTGCATTTATTTGCCAAAGAGCAACTTTTTTCTAAAGCAGCATATTGCCTTACTTACAGTCATAATATGTTTGGCCTCTTTCTTCCATCTTTTTGTATTTGACTTTCCCCTCTTTTTTTCCCTGCAGTAATCAGTGAGTATTTCAATGCAAGTTGCATCCCTGGAGTTGGTGTTGCTGCTCCTCAGCTGTGTGCTCTCTGCCAAGGACAAAAGTCATATATCAGAGACAAGAACCACTTCTGTGAGACCAGCAGCAATGAACCGTTCTACGACTCTGATGGAGCCTTCAGGTAAACTGGCTGTTTTGAACTTATACTGAATTCACCTTTGGGGAAAAAGAGCTAGTGAGGAGAGAAAAGGCAGATGACACGTTAATGGATGGCATTTGTCTTCTTGCAGGTGCTTGAAGGATGGAGTTGCAGATGTTGCCTTTTTAGATCACCTGACAATTATGAGAGCCACAGGTAGTCCTAAAAACTCAGATTCCTTTTAACCTTTGTCTGTGCTATTTCCTGCATGGGAGTTTGGGAGATGTGTTTGTATGTTTATTGTCAGTCACTGTAAGCAGTTCAGTGGTATTTCTTGGCTCTCCACACAAGTCAGAGGAAAACAGAAAAGGAGGTTGATAGGATGGGAGCAGACAGGCATTTTAATGCAGGTGATTTCTTTAGGCTAAAGTCTCTGCAGCTGCCAGCTGATTTCCTGACTATTAAGATTCCTTTTAATTTTCAGTGTTTCGTGAATGTCCTGTTATTTCAGAGTCAGAACAACAAGAATATGAACTCTTATGTCCTGATGGAACTACAGCTGAGCTGAGCAAGTACAACACTTGTAACTTGGGCAAGGGGCCTGGCCGTGGCATCATCACCCGCCACAACTTCCAAAAGATCACCAACAAATTTCTTACCATGATCCAAGTGAGTGGATATTGTAAGCTGTATATCTCTGTACACGGGATTTTCTTCTGTATTTGTGTGGAGCTCACCACTCAGTTTGCCTTCTTTTCTCAATAAATTTGTGGTTATTCTGAAGAAAATGTTCAACATGAATTGTTCTGGAGAAAGGTCCTGTACTAGTTTCTGACAGAAAATTTTACTTCTGAGTTGTTCTTCTGTAGAAGAGTGGAAATAAGTTAAGAGGAAGATGTCAGAACACCCAAATTGGAAAATAGATGGTTATTTCCATTCTGCTCTAAAGCTTATATGATAAGAGGCACATGGGTTCAGGCAAGATTCAGCTTTAAGAGGGTGAGGGAAACAATTTATAGCATCTGTTACGTTGATATCCAGGAATTTATGTGGACCTGAACTTGAAATGTATATTACTTAAAGATGTTAAGAAGCCACTCCACATTTAAAATAACACAGCAAAATGAATAATTCCAACCCAGTGAGCTGTGCTATCTTGTGAACTTGGACAAACAGTGGAAGTACAAAATCCCTTCTGTGAGAGGTTTTTCACATGTCCTTGTCAGTGTGCTTATTGGCACGTTCCTTAGCTATGTTCCCTATGCATAACAGTGGCTATGAAGTAATATTCCCAGTACATTCTTCAGTGCATGCTACTCTTCCATCAAGCTGGACAGCTCTCCTTTGCACACAGTGCTTCCCATTGTAAAGCACAAGACATCTTGTACCCAGTTACTGCAGTTATCTGTCACAAACGTTTCCCATTTGGCCAAATTACTTTAGTTGCCCTTATAGGGCAGGAGGCATTGAGCACAGCCCAATGAATTTGGATAACTAAGATGACAGGTAAAATTCTTCAAAAAAGGAAACTGAATCTCAAGCAATATGTTTGTAGGACTGTAACCATCCAGTCACTGTGGTACCTATGGGCTTTGTCACAGTGTGGTGGATACTGGAACCCTGAACACTATGTTACAGGCCATTGCTATGATGGGTGAAGGAGGTGAGGCTGCCTGACACTAAAAGGATGAGATGAATTTTTGCAATTAAAAATGTTGCTTTTGTCCTAGCGTCTCTTTGGTCGAAAAGGAAAGGAAAGAGCCAGATTTGAACTTTTCAATTCATCATCCTTTGGAGGGAAGAACCTTCTCTTTAGAGATGCCACTCAGCACCTGCAACTTCTCGAGGAACAGCTAGAAATTGCATATGTCCTTGGTCTGGATTATGTAGCTCTCCTTAAGGGACTAGGTCATGAAGGTAAGAAGCTTCTGGAGGACTGTAGATGTCCTGTGCTATTCCTCCCTGCCAGACCCAAATGAATAAACTGAAGCATCCACTTAATGAAGAACAGATTGTTGTATGATTGATGTGGTTCCACTGTGCTCCTTCTTTCTAATGCAGGGAGCTCCTTGGACAACAGAGTTGTGCGCTGGTGCTGCATCAGCAATGCTGAGCTTCGCAAATGTGAGGAGTGGGCACTGAGCATCAAATCTGACCCATTAGTCTGTGTCCAAGCAACTTCCATGGCAAGCTGCATTGAAATGATCAAGGTAGGAGAGTCCCTCAGAGAGCATGATAATCTGCACAGCGTGCATGTTCAGCTTAGGCAAGGATAAGTGGAAAAACACTTCTACACTAGAGGGAGCAGTGTAGGAGGAGTGACAGGCAATTTATGCAGGGGAATTTCCAGCCAGTGGAGAAGTACAGCTGCTTGGTTATACAATTAATGCAATTCCTATTTGTGTTATTTTCTGTAATGCTGTTGACAGAGTAGTGAGGCTGATGCAGTCACTCTGGATGCAACCCACGTCTACATTGCAGGGAGGTGTGGATTGGTGCCTGTAGCTGCAGAGTGTTATGGTAAGTTCTTGTGTGCACCATATAAACATAGTTAAATGTTGACACATTGTGATGTTTTGTTATGGAAGCAGGGATCCATACACATATCCAGGCACCCTTCTCAGCTCTTCCATTAACTGGCTGTAGCTTTTGATCTGTTTGTGTATTGTATCTCTTCTATAAAAGAGGTGGAGATACTGACATGGTTCAAGAGGGGATTGCAAGGTTATAAAGTTGGTTGTTTTTTTTTTTTTTTATGCAGTGCTGCCATGCAATGAGAATGACAGCAGTTGCAAGATCCTTAATGGTTGTCTTCTCTCTCCAGGGCAGGTTTGTGCTCCAGCTGATGAGAGCACAGAGGAAATCAGCAAACTTCATCTAAAGCGCAAAGGTAATGAGAGAACTTTGGAAAGGCAAAATATTTCAACTTTCCTGAGAGTGCCTCTTAAGATTTCTGTTGGGATGTATTTGCATGCTCATTTGGGAAAGAAATTGCACTGCATTTTCAGAACTTTCACTACAATGTGTGGCTGCTAGGGTAAGAGCTCTGTGACTAAGCAAAGAATGCAGATGATCCACCACTAACTGAAAATACCATGAGGGGATGAGGGAGGGAAGACTGGGGCTCTGCCTATTTGGAATACTTCATTGCCTTTATATAACTGGTTGCTGTCATTGTTTTGTAGGACTGTCACCTGTTTATGCTGTAGCCCTAGCTAAGAAAAATGCCAAACAGATTAACATCCATAACCTGCGGGGGAGGCGATCATGTCACAGCCACTTGTACAGTCCTGGAGGATGGTTACTTCTTTCCAGATACACAGTGGGACCTCTGGAAAACATTACTGAAAACTGTGATATTGGATCTGGTATGAGTCGCTCTGGGTTATCTGTGAGGAGATTCTTGAAGTCTAAAGCCTAACATTTAGGCTTTAGAAGGAATCTTAGTTTAGGAAGTAAGATTGAAAAGAGTCTGTGAGGGCAGAGTAAAAGAATTTTGGTCTTGCATATCATTGGAGATGTTCATATTTGCTATGATGTGCTCCTGTATAGAGCTCTCTTTTCAGTAGTGGATTTCTCCTAGACTGCATATGATGTTCCTTAGCAAGCAGATGCACCATAAATAATAGTGGTATCTGTGCCTACATGCAAAAGAAAGGATGATCAAAAGACAAGTATCCACTCCTAGAGCTCAATGTGTATGATTCTGTGTTTTGTTCTTTAAAAGTCAGCCAATTTCTCTATCTCTTTCTTGATTAAGTTGTCTAATCGATTAGTTGAAATGCATTTGTTTATGTTCTGGGTGTAAAAAGTTATGGGCTTGGTTTATCTCAAAATATTTTAGGAAGACCAAGTACAGTTGTAATAGAAACTCTTCCTCCCCTTGTTCTTTTCACCCACTGTCTTGCCTCTTGATCCTTCTGTGTTGTGCTTGTGCTCAACTTAGTTTATCTGTGTGGCTACTCCAAAACCTGGAGAATGATGATCTCCTGTTTCTATCTCTCATGTTATAGGAGAAAAAAGTACTGTTCCAATTGTTAATACTTTCAAGATTAGGTATGAATAGAGATGTTGCCAGCTGCTGTATGATCTACATAGTTAACTACATAGTTAACATGATCTACTCTCACACTTCAGCTTGGTTTGCTTTCTTGAGTTGCTTAGTTCTATCATTTTGCCATTTTACTTCACCCAAGAAAGAGTTGATTAGTCGCATGGCCAGCAAGTGCAGTCTCAAAGGTTGTTGAAACAATTATTCCTCTTATCTGAGTATGTGTGATTCTTCATGCCATTTAGACTTCTTTCCATCAGTTACTAAGATGGAATCCAATTCTTCCAACAGAAGAAGATACTTTGCTCTAATCTCACCTGAGTTTTTTCTTCTGCTCAGTTTACCAGAATTACTTTTGGAAGGGCTGCATGCCAGGAGCAGATGGAAACCTGTGCAAAGTGTGCATTGGAGACAGTGAGGTGGAAGGAGCTCGAGTATCCAGCAGATGTGCTGCCAGTCACAATGAACACTACTATGGCAATATGGGAGCACTCAGGTAATACTTCTTTCCAGAGTCAGACACATGGAGCAATAGCCAGGATTGGCTTATTATTTTACTGATGGTTTTCTATGGAAGCTTTTTTGTTAAGCAACTGGCTGTATAAACTTTTGGTAGCATGTATTTTGCTTAGGCTGCAGTTGCTATGATTTGTTCAGATGGTTGGAGAGTTTCATGTAACCTTTTATGGAGCAAGACAATGCTTCCAAACATGTAAGATGTGGAGCATTGGAACAGAACTCATTTAAGAGATGGAAAAATACTTAGAAGATCAGAAAGTAGAGATGATGTAGTAACAAGCACTGTAATAAGCAGTGATTAGACTGGATTATTATAATATATATTTTTAAAAGGAAGAAATAGTTGAAGGTTGTGTAGAAAAGGAACATTAACAGTGAAAGTGCTTTCATAGAATATCTGTAGTTCATTTAGCTGAATTAAATTATCTTTCCTGGCTAGGCACAGATGGGGTTACTTGGATGCTGTGCTGCAGCTTTGACTTGGGAGCTGCTTTAAGAGATAAATGAAATTGTCTTGACAAACACATGAATGGTGCCCACTGACATCTATGCTGACATCACTAACTTGTTCCACACATAATGACCAAATAGCTTCAGATGAAGATATTTTCAGCTACTCCTGTTTTAGCTTCCAATGATTGTCTAAGATTCAGTCATTGTAATGGCTGTCTCTGGTAACTTTTTATTTTCCTCCTATACTAGGTGCTTAGTTGGCAATCCCAGTGGAAGAAGCTTTGGAGATGTAGCTTTTCTGGAACACTCAAACCTACTCTGGAATATAGAGAGTGAGATGCAGATATTTTCTTCTAATTTAACAATGTAAACTGTTCTCATTTTCCACACTGTGACTGTGACCGCTCAGGATCAGTGTGGAATAGGTTTAAATTAAGTCTATGAAATTGTGTTTGAAACCAGAAACGTACAGCAACTTTCCTGCATGTAGATGTTATGGTAAAGCTTTAAATTCAGGTACTGTTCAATTTCAGAGAGGAAAGAGAAAGAATCACTGAGTGATTAATGCGTTTGCTGGGGACAGGAGGGGAAATCATCCTTGGAGACTACACTAGTTTTTGGAAAGCTCAAAACTATAAAAATTGATTTTTCCCCCTGCACCTTCTCACACAGGCATGTACAGAGCATGTACCCACTGTTTGTATCAGTCTAAAGAATGAAAAGAACAGAGACACTGTGGGCTACTTGTCCTCAGAGGTGTTCTATAGCTTCACCATGACAACTTTTTGTTGTTTCATAGGTACTTTCTGGAATAAATGGTCCAGGTAGGTAGTTTAGTAGGTAAAAATACTGCAAAGTATTTCATTGCTGCAGTGAGAAATGAGTAACTTCTTCCAGGAAACTGAAGTTTGCAGGAGTGTAGCTGTTGAATTTTGTTGGTGGAAATGGTTTCAGTTACAGGAGCTTAAATCCTCTCAATCTCTTAAACTACTTCTACTGGTCTAAGAGCTAAAATGTACTACTCATAGAGGGCACTCCCACTTTGTTCAGCCTGATAAAATACACTGAAATTCAACTCGGTCAATTTCAGTAGCAGAAGAAAACTTTATGAAAGAGAAATATCTGTAAAATCAAGCAGGCATATAAGAACCTGGAAACCCACAGGAATTCATGCAGCAGTGAGCAGTTTATTTGAGGAAGCACAGACAAGGAGTATGAATTTCTTTGTATTCAGGAAGTGATCAGTGAAGATGAGACATAAGCTGTTTGTATGCTTTAATGTTGCTCTGCACCTATCTTCTAAAAACTAGCTTCAGCTCATTAACTTGGTTCCTCAGAGAAAACACCCAACTATTCCTTTTGCATTCTTAATAGATGAATATACAGCATGTGTATTCACTCAACTCCTTCCTCTCTGTTTTCCTCACTGCATGAGATTCACCTCGTCTTCTGCATTTGTTTTTTCAAAAGGATTTTCCTTCACTTCATCTTCTTTTCAGATCTGGAAAGCTCTGGTTGGGCAAAAGGTTATACAGCTGTTGACTTTGAACTCTTGTGTCCGGATGGAACGCGTGCTGCAGTCACCGAATGGGCTGGCTGCAACCTTGGTCCCGTTCCTCCCAGCACAGTCATGACTCGACCAGTCACTGTCACTAAAATCTATGACTTCCTAATGAAATCTCAGGTAAGGTAGATAATGGGGGGAAAAAGTTAATATGTTAAGACTTCTTATATACAATTCTGGAAACCTTTTCGTTATCAAGAGCTTTGTATGCTAAATGTATAGAGTGCCTTCAGATCTGATGTGACAGAATTAAGAATGTGTGTAGGAGATTGGAGAGTTCAAATAATGATTTTTCTCAAAGGCCATCAGTAGCCATCACACTCCTTCTGAGAAAAAAGCCACTCCAAAGTCATATCTTTTTTTGTATGACTGTACTGAATGAAAGTAGATCTGTTTTTTGGTTTGTTTTTTTTTTTTCCTGCTATTATGAAGCTGATGGTCACCAACATAACCTTGGTATTTATAGTCCCAACTGTGGAACCTCTTTTCTGTTTAGGAATTTCTGGAGACCAAGATGGATTCTGAATTCCGTCTCTTCCAGTCACAAAAATATGGTGAGAGTGATCTGCTTTTCAAAGATACCACTCAGTACCTTGTTCCTGCAACTCACATGAGCTATCAGGAAATCCTTGGAGAACCTTTCTTTCAGCTGGCAGAATCAGTGTTTAATTGTACACCTGCAGGTAAAGTCAAATTCTTCATTCCGAGTTAGAGAAAAATGCAAAGCAGTAGGAAGTTTTCTGTGCACAGACACGGCCCTGTGCTTTACATTGACTTTAGAGGTGATTTCTACACAACCTTGTTAATGGAGTATAACATTTGGAGTGTGTTTAGGCCTCTTGCAACTGCTATCTGTAAGCACTGAAACCAGGGGTCTATGGGAGCGATATAACCAATATGTGTCAGAGCAAGTAAGAAGTTATTGAAGTGGAATTGTTTTCCTTCCACTCAGAAAGTTTTTTTCCTATCCCAAAGATCTGAGTATGTCAGGCTTGGGAAAAATATTCAAACTCTTATATTCAACCTCAGAATAAGTTTAAAATTCCATTTTTAGAAAGGATGCACTAAAAATTACAGCAAAGAACTCAAGTTAAAAATCTTTTTGTATTTATAGGACAGCTTTCTCATTATTATCTACTGAAAGCTATATGAAATTTATATTTAGTTCTCACTGGAACTGAAATGAAACGGCTTATGAGTCAGGTCCGAGTTGCTAGGGGACCTAAAAATCTGTGTTGAAGTAAAAGCAGATTGCACAATGTTTAGATGCCTGAGAGTTTACTACTTGTTAAAAAACTGAAATTCAAAGAGGGAATTTCACCTCTGTTCAGTTTTAGTGAACGGTAGCTAGAGAATTTGTAACTGTCAATGCTGATGGAGTCTTTAAGGATGTATTCTCTTACTGGTTTGTAGGCATCTTAGACTTTTGCAAGCAGGATATCTGTGCCTCCTCATCGGTCTGACAGCTGCTATAAAGGCTTTGCAAGGCATGAGCTTTCACCAATGCTGAAAACAAAGAACTAGACTAGTCCTGCCTATCCAGAGCAATCTGCAAGGAAACTGGCACCTCTGGACACATATGCTGGTTATTCTTTTGTCATAACCTTTGTTTTCTTTAGAAAGTAGATTTTATGTTTATGATCATGTAATACTACTGCTATGTCATCCCTTTCTTGTTTGAAGCACGGAATTGTGTGCAACAGCTTTCACCAGTCCTCATAACCCACAGCACAGAACTAGGATCAGCAGTTCTGGTTGCCTACTATGGAGGATTCAGCATTTTGGGGGACTAGCAGGGTCAGTGCAGTGGATTAAAGAATGGACTGCCACGAGTGGCGCAGGTTAGTGGGTAGCAGTTCACCTTGCTTTACCTGTTTTATCTTCTAAAATTTGTTTCCATGCAAAAAGTGCAACTGATATTTTGGTGGCTGCAGAATTATCTTCCTGTATTGCAATTGCAGTCCATGTTTGAACACACACACACACACACACACACACACGTATGATAGATGGTTTATGTAATCACTGTCAGAAGTCTCTTCTGCTTTTAACTGGCAATAACACATTTCCTTTTTTTAATCAAGGATTTATACTGGTAAATCAAAATCTTTTTCTCTCAAATTCATGTTGTAAGACATGAAGTAACAAGCGGACCTGGATTCTTGCAGCCTTAACTTGAAGGGAAGCAATGGATATATGAGGGCTGCTCCAAAAGTAATGCCTTCTATTTTATTGTGTTGGCCCATGATGTTAGGTTTGGATGTTGGTGGTACAGCAGTAGAGGCTGAACCTTCCCACAATTATTGTTACATCCTATTGCTGTGTGACAGATGGCAGCAGAGAAGGATTCTTGACAGAATGGCGTCTGATATGATACAAAGGTGTATAATTGAATTCCTTCATGTGGAAAAAAATGGCACCCTTGACATTCATTAATGCTTGCTGAATGTTTATAGAGACTGCACAGTGGCTGTGAGCACAGGGAGGGACGGGTGGTGTGTTTCAGCAGTGGCAACAGTGGGTCAACTCCACTGGTGTATGTTTTTGCAAGTGTGGCATGCAGGTTCTCGTTCATTGCTGACAAAAACACACAGCTAAAAGTGGTGACTGTGTTGAAAAACTGTTTCATAGCTGAGAATTTGTTCTATCAGATAGTGTGATTGTAGCTGTTATTTCCATGGAAATAGAAAGGAGGCATTACTTCAAAGCAATTCCCATTCTTCTCAGAAACACAAATCATTACTTTATAGTAACTACAATGACACTTCTAACGTCAAAATACAAATTTTTAATTAAACTGAATTTTTTTTTTTTTTTTTCTTTCTTCCACACAGAAACTGTCTGAATGTGATATCAAGTCTTATCATGCACTGTGTTGAAATCATAGTTTTGTTTTGCCTGTTAGGGGAGGACTTTGTGTGGATGACTACTCATTTCATTTTCCAATGAGTGTTATAACCTACCCCCACGCTGCCTGACCAGGCAAATTGAACTTAATTAAAATAAATACAACAGCACAAAGACCAAAACAGCCAGCTTATACCCAAATGTCACAGTCTTGCTCTATAAATACAGTTGCATTAACCACTGCTATCAATAAGAGAAATGCCATAAGTGAAGACTGGCCAGCTGCACTAGAGAAAGTAAATCTACCTCCCCTACAGAGCAAGGGAAAAACCCCACAAAACAATAAAACCCCTAAATCAAGCAAAACTAGCCAGTAAGAGCTCAAAAATACTCAGTTGTAAAATACAGTGCTAGAGTGACCTGTTTTTAAGCAGCTTATTTCATGCCTAGGTTGCCTTTCCTTTAATTTACGTTAGCCTTTTTCATTTCCCTTTTTTGCTTCCTAAGAAAAAATAAATTGCACTTTGAGCAGCACAGAGGGTTATGGATTCAGTCCATCACAGTTGAGGCTGGTCTCTAACTCATTTGTCCCACACTTGTCATTAACTAAGCAAATAGCAGAAAGCAGATGCAAATCCAAAGCCGTGTACCTTTAAGAAAGAAAGGAGAGAAATAAAATGTAGACAAGTCGCAGTATGGTAGCAGAACAAAACCTTCACGTGTGGCATCACAGCCGGGAAGCTGTAGCTCTGATGAAGTGGAGAAAGAGCAGGGTCTATTCGAGGTCTTTGGAGCGCTCCTTTCCTTTCTTTACTGGAGCTTACATGCCACCTGCAGGACTCGCCTAACATTGCACTTCAATCACAGGAACAGCTCTGCCAAGAGCAAGAATGCTGCTGAATATGTAGTACACTGAAACCTGGGTTATAGGCATGACTTAATGGGCTGTGAGGGAGGGGAATTACTTTCTGTTACAGCTCTTACAAAAGCTTGTGGAGCCCTGTTTGATGTTCCCATGCTTCAACTTTGAGTTAGAAGCAGGGGTTTGATTTCTTTCACAGATTGCATTAGATGTGAACCGTGGTGCTGCTCCAGCTTTGAAATAGTTGGTTCCAAACCTAGGGGGAATGGTCTGTGCTGTCTCGATGTTAGTATTATGAAGAGTAGTTTGGTAGTTCAGTGTGCTTTATAGAGCACAGGTCCATCTCTGTTCCTTTTAAAGTATGGCTATAGAAAAATCAACACTGGAATTGCTGCTGCATACCTCACGAACAGCCCACCACTTAATTGCTGTCAGTCTCTTGGGAGATTGGACCTTTTTCCCCACAGCTGTAGGACAGATGTATTGTGTGCATTTACTAATACAAGCCTGAAGAAGGCTTAAAAACAAACAAAAACAACAGAAAGGGTCTCAGAAAAATTTATTTCCATAAATTAAAAACACACAAAAGAAACAGTAAAATTTTAAATTCACACAAAGTTGAACAAATAAAATGCCAAGAGCTTGATGGAGGCTAATGGCACAGGCGTACAAATTCTCACTGAGCTATTTGTTGACATGATAGCACTGTATAGACATTTAATCCACAGTTAGCATCCATATCCTAGAAAAGCACCTGGAACACAATATGCCAAAGGCCCGAATCGTATGAAATACAATAAATGAGAACTGCTTGCAGAAGATCATATCCAGCAAACATCAGAACTCAAATGTATGCAGCTACAAGGCCAGGCAGGCAAACTTCCTAATGTACATTAAGTAGTCTTAGCTGCTCCAGTTGCAGCATGATGAAAATAAGATTTTGTTTTTAAGAAAAAAACCCTAACCCTCATAATCAGCAAATTTAGTAAAAAGAGCTGCCTGTCTCTGAAAAACAACTGCTATGTGATGGTGCACACCAAAAGCTTTGCGTTTCTTCTCAAGCTGCTCTAGACATCATTCTGTGAGCCATATCTATCAATACCTTTCCATGATGTTACAAGAAAAAGAAATTACTGGAGTAGGCTCTATGAAAAGAGAGTTGTACACATTCTTCCGCTAGGGAAGTATTTTAGACTCCCAAACATTCTCTCTACTTTTTTCCTTCAATAACCTGAGACAGAAGCAGCCCAGAGTGGCAGTTACCTACCTTTGCACCATCATCACTCCCAGTGTACAAAGAACAGCCACAAGGAACGAGGTTGTTCCATGAGTGTTGTAAATAGGGACAGAGGTGGGAGAGGGAAAAAAGTGCACACGCATGACTGACATCTGTTCCTGAGGAGGATGGGGGGAGGAAGAAAAAAAAATGCTTTGTCTCAATTAGCTTACGACTATCATACAAATATGAAACCAAATCAGAATAATTCACAGACCCTAAGGTCTGAGACAACCTAGGCAACTGCTACATCATCTTCTTACTCCTCCAATTATTGTAAATGAAAGGGGATCAAGTGTTTTCTTTCTTATGCCCCCTCTGCTGTAACTATTAAAAAGTTAAGAAGTGTTGTTTCAAAGCAATTAATTAGATACAAGACAGAGCAAGGAAGCAGACAAAAAAAAAAAAAACCCAACAACACAAAAAGTTCCATATTTTGAAGCGCATCAGAAGCTCAACTTTGCTTGGACCCAACTCCCTCCCTCTCACCCTGTTTTCTTCAAAGCCCCAATGAGGTTACAGCTCAGTTCTGTCACAACAGTAAAAGCCTCCCATTTTAACAGAAGGTTAATTAACACTGTGTCACAATTCCATTCTACAGCATAAAACCATAAAAATATATCTATGTGTGTATATATATCACTCTTGCAACAGCTTCCATCCAGTCAATATTTGGGCAATAAGCCAACATAGAGACAGTTTCAAATATTTTTTGAAAGGTAGCTGACCTTTATTTTTTTATTTTTTAGGGATTTCTATAAAAATAAGATCAATTAAAATGTTCCCCAGCAGCTCAATTAGGTTAACCAGACCTTGCTGCTGAAACAGCGTGTCAGTATGTTTGAAGTTTATCTACCTTATTTTATCCTCAAAATCCAAATGACCACTACTCTAAGTCTGTACTCTCTCTTTTCCTGAGTCTTCCTGATTAATTAGCCTCCAAAACAAGAATGTAAACTGTCATTAATCCCAGCAGATAGGCTGAGAGCAGAACAAACCCAGAATACATTTATGTCAGGATTCAGGCACAGAGAATGTAATAATTCTTCTTCCATTTCTCCACTTTCCAAACTCTGGAATTCAACAGATTGCTTGTTAATTCTGAGTTTTCTGTTAGGCCAGTAACAGAAGTGGTAGAGCAGCAGAAGACAGTGATGGGATTTTCAGTTCTTCATTTACTGGGACTTAATCAAAATACTTGCCCACTAGATAGCTGCTTATTCTGAATGTGAATATAAACTTTGTTATATGGATAGGTAACTAAGAAAGTGCAAGTTTTAAGAGACAAATGAAGGAATAAACTGGTTAAATTTGAACATCCCAACAAAGACAGCTTCACATGAATAACTTCTATAGGCACTAAAGGACAGAAATTACCTGTACTGCAGCTAGCATTCATTCTGAATTACTCTTCAAGTAAGTTTAACAGAAGTTATCCCAGAAGCAACTGCTCTTCTCTTAAAAGTTATGGCTGAGAAATTGCCCAGTGCTGCATCATCTAATGACAAATGGCCTCACTTAATGAAAAATAAATGTTTTTCACATGCTAGGAGGCTCTTTGTACAACACTAGCTGTTGCATACAACAGTGCTGTACATAGAATATCTGATTGGGAGCTATCTGAACTGCAAACCTAAAACGGGTGTTCAAATCAAGCTGACTGTATTTTCTGAAATGAAAATCGCTTTGAAATAAGTCTCAAAGGATTTGCTGGTGCTTCTTGGATGAAGCAGTTCAGCTCAGCTAATAAAAACTCTACTTGCATACCCAGTGGTTTAATGTACTCCTGGGATTTGCCTCTGGAGAAGGGGTATAAAGTATCAGCCAATTTGGTAAAAAAAGTCACTGTTTAGGAAGAAATAGCAGTGGGCATCATCTTTTCTGAAAGTATTACTTATTCTTTTGTTTTGTAATCTCAGTTGTGTTAAAAGAGGTCCTCATGCTGCAAATAAAACAAGGATACAAAGTGCAAGTTCATTAAAGTCTAGTTATGTGGAGCTTC